GGGTTGTTCGGGATTTTCCCATTCCGGCGAATTGTTCGGAGCAGTGTTCCAGAACGTGGTGGGTTTTCGTGTTCTACCTATAAAAGCCTCTTGTCCACTTAACAACACTGCGCCGTGGAGGATGTGACTCGCCCCTAAATAAAGTCACTGTCCATTGCTTCACTCCAGTGGAACATTGTATTCCAGCTGCCAGATGCTGTCATTGAGAGGAGGATTGGACACCTGTTTGGGACTTAAGCAAACGAAAGGCGTATGAACCGAGTAATCGGTCACCGGTTCCCAATGTGCGCGATTCCCTGAATTCGCCCCGCTGCCTTGCGGGTAGGCTATTGAGCCAAATGCTCGGAGTGGCGGCCCCCTAAAGCAACCCCCTAATTCGGTCTAGGCAATCGAGTAGTATCTCGCCTACTCATGAACCATGGAACTGAACTGCACTCTTCGCTCTACTGATGCTTTGCTCTCATTGTAATACTGCAAACACTCTTCGATCACACGCCACTCGCTTATCTACTCTTCCCCTGTATCATTTATTCCCAGTTTTTGTCTGATCAATCAATGATGAACAGCATTGCTTCCTCCGCTATCACTGTTGCCGCTCCATCCTCTGACATAATCACATATTGCCAAACCGGAATTGAACAATCCCGGATTCGCTACTCTCCGCTTCCGCAACCGGAGACACAGTTCAACTTGGCGGCATTCAACGTGCGCACCTTATTTCAGATTGGACAGCAAGCCGGTCTTCCGTTCACTCTAGAAACTCTTGCAATTGATGTCTATTGTTTGTCCGAAACAAGACTTCAGGATTCCAACACAGTCTACAACTTGTCGTCACCAATTCACCCTTATACCCGTTTCCACCTTCGATTTTCTGGAGAAGCCGAGGGTACCGCTTCTGAACAAGCTGGTGTTGGGGTCGCCCTTAGTGCTAGAGCCGAAGCCGCCCTTCTCGAATGGATTGCGATCAACAGTCGCCTTTGTGCTGTCAGGCACCATGGCTTGTGTAAGGTTAACAGGCGTCAGGAAGACAACGGTGCTTTTTGTAATCTCGGCCTATGCTCCCACTGAATGTAGCCCAGTTGCCGTCAATAACCAATTCTATCAGAACCTTCATGATTTGCTCTTAAAGGCCCCCAAAGCGGACATCATTATTATGGCGGGGGATTGCAACTCGTGTGTTGGTGGTTTGTTACCAAGCGAACGCCATCTTGGAGGCCCGGATGGATACGACAACTTTCGCTCAGACAGTGGTGAAAGACTGCTCAGTTTGTGTGCTGTCCACCAACTTTACCTCTTCAGCACGAATTTTCGCCACCCTAGACGTCATTAAGCTACCTGGCACGCTCCATCATCTCAACGTTGGTCACAGATTGACCACACCGCCATAAGTCATCGTTGGCTTAGCTGTATTCGGGGCTGCAGATCCTATTGGTCAGCATGCGTGAAAACTGATCATGTGCTAGTTCGTGCGTCGGTTTGCATGCGTTTAAGTGGCTCGACTAGGACTAGACAAACTCGAGTTAACTCTGGTAAACTGGGAAGACTCCGCGGCGCAATTGGAATATCAAAAGCAGCTTCGTGAGAACCTCATTTCTCCGCCCGCTCGGGACCTTGATTTGCATTGGTCGCGATTGCAATAGATTATTTTCAGAGGAATAATAGGGGGTGTTGAATGGTATAGGTAGAAATTCGTCAGTGAGAGAGTCTATATGTGACGAATTTCTACCTATAAGATTGTTTTCAACAGGTTTATTCAGTTGCGATCTTGTTCGTTGCACAACTAAGAGTTGCATTTCTGCTACCTCCGCGGAAATTCTCGACTATCGGCGAGCGCTACAAGTCAGTGTTGAGCACACTGAGCTCCGCCGTTCTATTTCCAGACAACTGAAAACGAGTCTTCGCCGTAACAGTGAATCCTGCTTGTCTAAACGGGCCAAGGAACTGGAAGTTGCTGTCTCTGCTGGTAACAGCCGCAAGTTGTTTTCTCTCATCAGATCCACCGGACGCAAAGTTCAGGCTATCAGTCAGACCATGTGTGAGTCAGAGGGGGCAAAGATCATCAACCTACGCAGACATCTGGATCGCTGACCAGAGCACTTTGTTCTCCAGTTTAATTGCCCAACACAACCTCCGGTCACATATTCACTGCCATCATGTGATCCTTGGTCAGTCTGCACAGATCCTCCAAATGAAGCGGGAATTCGGAGATAAATCCAGACTCTGAAACGCCACATAGCTCTTGGTCTTGACAGTCTTCCTCCGGCCTTATTCAAAGATAGGGAGGACATAGTTGTTACCGAAATTCTATCGTTGTTCACAAAAGTATGGAGTAATGAGAAACTTCCTGGCTCATGGGGAGAAGCTGTTGTGGTTCCGCTCCGCATGAAGGGCTCTCGTAGTGAATGCACCAACTACCGAGGAATCTCACTTATCTCTGTCGTGTCCAAGCTTTTGTGTCTATTCTGCTGCGTAGGCTCTCAGTTACCCGAGAGAGTTTGTGTCGTGAGGAACATGCTGACTCGTTCTGGCGTGGTTGAATTGACCAAATTTTCATGTTGCGTCAAATTCTTGAACATCGTCATGTCCACCGAAGACCAACAATGGTGATGTTTTTGGTGTTTTGACTCAGTAGACAGGTCGTCACTATGTAACTGTCTGCTACGGAACGACGTCCCCGACAAGTTTGTCATACTCTTGAAAGAGCTGTATAGTCACACCTCTGTCAAAGTTAGAGCTTATGGCAGAATTTTTTCTTCATTTTCTGCTACCATTGGAGTGCACCTATGTCGCCATTCCTGTTAAACTTTACTATCGTGCACTGAAAGGAGCCCATAGTTGTGGCGTTGATTTTCTACCCGGAAGCAGAGTGGTGGACCTGGACAATGGTGATGACACGGTTTTGCTGGGGACGACTCACAGGCTGTTCAAAACATTCTGAACCGCTTGGCGATAGTATGGTCTGTATTTTGCTCCATCCAAGTGTAAAACTTTGCTCCAGCATTGGCAAGCGCCTGTGCATACGCTCACCATTTTGGATGTCAGCCTAGAGCTCGATAACAGCCTTAGTTACCTCGGGAGTTGCATCACGGCTGGTGGCGCTATTGGTGATGAAATTTCACAACTAACAGTCAAAGCTTGCCTTGCACTTACTAACGTGGGACCCTTGTGGCGTCATAGTGATGTCAGTCTCAAGCTCAAAGCCGAGTGTATAGTGCTACATTTCGTGCTGTCCTACTGTACGGCTACGAGACCTGAACTGTTCGCTCGGAAGATTTGACACGACTATCTACTTCCGGCAACCGCTGCTTGCGTTCGATTGCTCGTGTACGGTGGCAGCACCATGTAAGCAATGCGGAAATTAAAAAGAGAATCATGGGAGTTGACATTCCTTGTCTCCAGAGCATAATCATTCAGCACCAATTGCGTTGGCTCGGTCACCTACTCCGCACGGCGACCCAGCACTTTCCACCTAGCGCATTATTTGCACTTCCTGGACGCGAATCGAAAAAGATTCGCGGATTACAACCGAGGACTTGTAAAAGAACCATGAAAATTCCAACGTCGTGTAGAGCGTCAGTTGGATCCTTGCATCTCCCAGACTGGTTACCACGTGAAGCGGATGCTCGATGGTTGGAAGTATTGGAAAATATGGCCCCCAATAGGAGTCAATGAGATAAATGCTGTTCTACCTTCTCTTCATCATGTAATTTATAATAATGAACAAAACACGAAAACAGCATACAAAAAGCTTAGAACTGCGTGCTTGAAGCTAGAAAAGAAGCTCTTTCTGACGTTTTACTCTCTCTCTCTCTCCGCGTTGGACATTGCATCCTCTTTTCGCTAAAACCATTTATTTATTTATTTATTTATATATAGGGTGGCATCAGTTTCCGGATTTGCCTGTCAATGTGGACAGCCACAGGACGCCTGCGCCTACAAAGTGACCATGGGTGACTTGCGCTGCACCACTCACAGCTCCAACCACCCACCCCATATCCAGTGTAAACCCGAAGGAATAAGACCAGGAGGCATGTGCTTGGGAGCCACGTTTCATCAACGGAGCCGGCCCACACTCCTTCACAGGCAAAAACAAGCACGCTGTATTTGGGGAATCAAGCGCACACATGACGGTGGCTAGCCCGTAGTCCGCTCCACACTGAGTGCATTGAACCGCTGTTTGAGCCTAACACGGCCCCAAGGACCGTGCACCCCGTCCCCTCTAGCAATGACCAACTGTCTCCTGGAGCCAGTATGGACGAGGTAGTGGGTAATAGACAAGTAGACACCCTGTCAACATTCACATCAAGCGCAGCCACACCGGGGATATCAAGCAACAGCCAACCACTTGAAACGACAGGATGAAATAAAATAAATCGGATAATGTATACAGATACGGAGACATAACTATTCACTTAATAGGCGTATCAAAAGATTGATTACGAACTAACCCGCGATAGTTCCAGACGTCAGAGAGTATATTTTAAGGACATGCCACAAACGCGAAAATGTTATCGAAATTAACTACAATTAACTTCAGCAACGTGTGCAAGTTTATAGAAGATAGTACATGTAGACAATCATATGAGAAAGTAAAGCATCAGGACAAAATTAAAAATCTACCACCTAAAATATTAGACTTCGCATTCAAGCACGCGGTTAGGAAATCGAATGTAGCGTACCTGCAAATGCTGCGCTGCTTATGCCTACGTTCTCTGCAGGACCCGTCCTCCCTTGGGTAGTGGTCCCGAGAGGCCTCGCTCATGGCTCACTACGCCTGCCTTACTCAGGCACTCGCGACCGCATGTGCTACAGCACCACGTGTTCGATGTCGATGGAGTACAACCCATCGGTGCTTACCGCTTCTTCTCTGCATGCATGAGGTCTTTCTCCCGCATTTCGGCAACTGCCTTCGTGATCAGAGCTCGCCCATGCAGGCTGATCAACCGCCTTCGCTTCCCAGGACCTGCAATCAAGCTCAGAAAGTGAAAGGCTCACTTTGATCATTTCCTGGTAATATAATTTTGGTTTCTCCACAAGCCACTTCCCAATAGGTAGCTGACCATACAAGGGTCGTTTCGGTATCCGCATCGAATCCTCACATGATCGAGCCACCTCAGGTGTCTCAGCAAAAGTATGCAATCCACTGCATACATTCCACTTCGACGCAACACTACCGTGTCCGCAACTCTGTAGCCCCATCCGATGCGCAAAATCCGTCGCAAACACTGCTGATGGAACCGCTCGAGATATTGAACATCTGGCCGGTACGTCGTCCACCTTTCACTGCCGTATAGAATAACAGACAGCACGATGGATTTGTGCACCATCATCTTCGTGCCAACGGTATGCTGATGGTTGTTCCACACTCCGTACTCTAGCTTCCCTAATGCCGCCGCTGCATTCGACACGCCGATACGCAGCTCACTGTGCATCTGCTGACCAGTCAACATCACACTCCCAAGGTAGCAGAAGCGGGAGATGGTATCCAGTACTTCAGCACCAATGCTGATTCGCGGCAATAGTGAAGATTGCACCTCCGGTGAGGGCTGAAAGTGACAGACAGTTTGGCTGGTGTTGATGGTGAGCCCGAAGTTGGCCGCTGTCGAAGCCAGAGCACTAGTCATGTGGTGCAACTCATCCGCGCTGTGTGCAAACAACGCACAGTCGTCAGTGAACAGCAACATACGGATAGTTGTCTCACAGACTAGCGTTCTCGCACCGAAACGACGGATGTTCGGCGACTCACCATCAATACGGGGCTCCACACGAACACCGTAAGCACAAGTCGCTTCAAAAGCACAAGACATCATTGAATTAAGATTCATATCAAACAGGGCAGGAGCTAAGACACGGTCTTGCTTCACACTAAGGATAACTGCAAAGTCACCCGAGGTCTCTCCACTCAGCTGCACCCTCGCTCGCATATCACTGTGCAGACATTCAATTAAACTTACAAACTTACGCGGGCAACCAAACTTACCCAACACAAGCCACAATGTCTTGCGGTTCACCGTATCAAATGCCTTGGTGAAAGCAACAAATACCGCGTACAACGGTTTGTGTCGTTCTCTGCACTTCTCCTGCAACTGACGAGCCGCAAACACCATATCTATAGCGCTGCGACCCGAACGGAATCCACACCGCTCTTCCGCCACGTTAGGTTCTACAACTTGACTGACGAGGCGGTTGAACAGCATTCGGGCAAGCACCTTGCCCACACAAATCAGCAAGTTGATGCCACGATAATTCGTGCAACATTGCTTGCTCCCTTTGCCTATGTACAGTAGTAGCACAAGGACATCCTTTAGCTCAGGAGGCACCTCCTCCTCAATCCATACGAGTTGCACCAAGTGGTGCAGCGCAGTCAACAACGCGGGTCCGCCGTGTTTCAACACTTCAGGCGGGATCCCGTCGGCCCCAGAACACTTGCCGTTTCGCAGCTGAGCAAGTGCTCTCTGCGTCTCATCCAGTGTCGACGTGTCTGTCAGGCTCGCCTTCACCTACTGCTTAAGGCCGTTCAATCTAGGCCAGTCGATCTCTGAACGGTGTTCAAGAGACAGTCAAAGTGTTTCCGCCAGATCTGCATTATGTCTGCAGTCTGTGTGCAGGTAGCGCCTGAACTACCATCGATCAGCTTCCTCAGCGGCTCCAATCTCGGTTCATACACCGCCTTCAAGGAGTCAAAGAATTCCTTGTGTTGGTGGCGTTCGGCGTAGCATTACATCCGCCTCACCTTCTTCGTCCACCATGCATTTTTAATGCGACGGAGCTCTCGGGTCAGTCGCCGTCGAAGTTTGCGAAACTGACTACTCTTCCCCAAGGCACTGGGGTCTGGCACATGTGCAGCAAATGCTGCATTCTTCCCCGACACCAATGCGCCAATCGTTGCATTATCCTCATCAATCCAATCAGGCCGCTTGCAGTTTGCGCGCCCGATGGTCTCCTCGGCGACCGCTGTCACCTGGTCGCGAATGTGGTGCCACAGATGGCTCACTGTGGCTGTGCATTCCACATCACACAGGCGGGCAGCCGTCGCCTTCTCCAGCTCAATACGTTTCGCCACAGTACCGAGGGAGGGAATGTTAAATTTACGCCGATTCACGGCGGGAGTGCAATATATAGCTTTACGAAAATATATGTACAGTTTGGTCCGCACCAATTTATGCTCAGGGACACACTCAGCTCCATGCAGTACACGTGTCATGTACAGTTCACGCATGTCACGCTGACGTACGAAAACATAGTAGAGCAGGTGAGGGTGAGCACTCCGTAGGTGCGTCCAAGTTGCTAAATCACTAGCACACATTGCAAACCGAGCGCTCATGATCGTCAGACCGTGAGTGGCGCACCGTGAGAGCAACCTGTCACCGTGCGCATTCGATGAACCAATACCATGCGGACGGATAACAACTGTCCACACCGATGCATCACGCCCAACGCGCCCGTTGAAATCACCCAGCAGAAATAGTCGGTCGCTTCTCAGCACAGACCGTATCACGGAAGATAGCTGTGTGTAGAATTGATCACGCGTATCGTCAGCATAACACATGGTCGGACCGTACGTGATTATAAAGGTGGTAAACTTACCTCTTCCGAGTCGTACTCCAACAGTCATCAGTCGCCCGCTGATGCTTGTTGGTTCACCCACCAGCTGGCCATGGACGCGATCAGATATTGCAAATCCGACCCTATGATCACGTGGTGTTGAGGCGGCCTTGCCCACCCAGTAGAATGTGTAGCCAGCACACGCTTCATGCAACTTACCTTGCTCAGCGAGCCGGGTTTCATTGAGCGCCGCAATATCGATGTGGTGACGCGCTATTTCCATCGCGACGAGTGCAGTGCTTCGCTCGGGGCGCTCACTGGAGTTCCGGTCCAGTAGTGTGCGCACGTTCCAGCACCCGATGCTGAGTGCTTTGCGCGCAGACATACGTTTGTATCGGTGGGCAATCTCACGCGAAGTGGTGGTTGTGCTTCCGAGGTTTGCTTGAGGGACTCCACCCGGAGCCTTTGACTCAATAGCCTTACCCACAAGGCAGTGGCTGATTTGGAGGTTTGCTTGAGGTACTCCGTCCGGAGCTTTTGGTTCAATAGCTTGACCCACAAGGCAGTGGGGAACAGATCCAGCTCGGGAAGGTGATTGCAGAGACAGATTGGTATCTGCTTGACGTCCGTCACACGCAGCTTTTGAGGTACTGGAACAATTCATATATGTTTTGCGACCGTAGTAAGATACACCTGAAACCACGGCCAGACGCAGGTGGGTTTGGCGGGTTTGCAGCAATTTGACCAGGGGCTGCCTGGATTGAGGCGGGCAGTAGCAAACCATTGACCACCCGGTGGTGCTCTCCCACCGTCCGAGACAATGCATGTCACTCGTGCTCTACGCCAATCGAGCTGTGAGCTTATAATCCGTAGACCTGTTGTCTCCCATGACTAGGTTTTACGGGAAGAATGCCATCGACCACTTCTTAACCTCCGAAGAGGATGGACTAGGATACTTGCAGGGCGCCCACACCTGACAGAAGAACGACTCGGGTCCTCAGCCAAAGCCTTCTATTAAATGAACACCCGAAAGGCAGCGGGTCTAGCACATGGTCAGTTCACTGACTCATGCGGATTAGGGTCCTGGATCTTATCGGGGAGGAGAGCGTAACCCAACTCCCACCCAGCGGTCGCCACTAGGAGGCGTCCAGGACATGAGCCAATGGCGCAACTGTAGCAGCAGTGGGTAGACCATCTGTCAGGATCTAGCCACCACCAGCCTCAAAGAACCATAGGCTCTCCCGCCATATATATATATATATATATATATATATATATATATATATATATATATATATATATATATATATATATATATATATATATATATATAATCCATATTGGTCGTCTAAATGTACAGTGGAATACATAATTTTGAGTAAAATTTGATGCATCCTACTCCGTTAAACAGGAGAATTTTCCGTGTTAGCATTTAACCATGCGAGCGTTCACCTGTGAGCGCAGTTTTTCATGTGTGCATTTTCTATGTGCACATTCTTCGCGCGGGCTATTTGGCTGTTTTGCCGTGCGTTATGTTCGTGTGAGCTTTCATCATATAATCAAGGGGAATATATTTATCTTCACTTGTAGGTGTACTAAGATTCAACTCCCGGCTACTAGTACTGAAACACACTCAACCATTTAATATTTTTCCTCCTAACTTTATAACTTTTTAATCTACTGGAAATTATTCTGAAAATTCGTCTTGCAATAGTTACTGCGCTAAATCCAAGGATTCGGGACTAGCAAACAAATCCTGATCTGCACTTCATGAGCGGAATTGTAAGCAGTACCTTTCAAGAGGTTACGATTTACTTGTTCTCGTAGAAACTATGTACCAATTAGCAAACACCTGTTCTGCTGGTTGTGGCAGCCATGTTTATTCACGGCCTACTGTTGTGTTCCACCATTCCGCTACCATGCTGCAACTTGCTCATGGGCACGTAGCTACTGTTCGTTTGTGAGTAGAATAAAACCTTTCAACTTGTTTGATGCGGACAATACGGCTTTAGGAAGTTCGAAGTTGCAACTCGATATGCAAATAGAAACTTGGAACCCACTGGGAATTCCTAATTTCGAAATTGGTTTTTTATAAACTTGTAGTGCTCATGCGTTTCGCTGTTAACCAATGAACATCTCCAGACTAAGCGGATCATCAGACAAGTTGGGCTTTATATCCGGTTTGTTGGCTCACCGTGTTCAGCGGCAGTTTCGGCTACTTCATGCTATGCACTATCATCAAAATGTCACTGGCGGTTTTACTCGCATCTTTGCCCAACAAACAAAGGTAGGTGACCTATATTCTATTCGATGACCTCTGAACAGTCAAGTATGCTTACTTATCGTTAAACCACTATGCAAAGTGACAAAGAATTCATCACACAAGTTTCAGGTTCTGTCCCCAACGATTACTATGCACGTGCGTTCAGGTGGAGGAGAAGGCCGGAAGTGTGCACTGCATGGGCTACATGTTAGCGGGACGAGTTGGGAAACCCAATCATAGTAACCGCGTTTAATAAATTCAAGCGTTTTTGTAGCTTAGTTTTTGCCTAGTTTTCAGCATTTTCGGACAATTTTCAGAAACAGCAACACAGGAGAGGCAATTGGCATTCATCTGTTTGGGGAGGTGTGTTTCTTGATCTGTTCATTTGTCCACGTACGATTAATTTTAATTTCGTTTTAAGCATGAATCCAGTCGAAAAACGTTACCGTGCTCTTCTCTCAATATTCTTAGTTGGCTGGCTTCTGATCATTTTAGGTATTTGTACAGAAACCGTTCGTCCATTCCCTGGTGAGGTACAGCTGTCGAAACCCTTGCACACTGCGTCTACTTGTAAATATTTCTATGCTTCTCACGCCATTTGTCGTGTGTAGTTGATCTTCCTACCTCAGGCCGTTATTTGAGTGAATTTTAATCCACTCCTTCTCAGTTGGCACCGCCATGTGAGTTTATCCGTTCAACTGACAAACTTTCCTTCCCCTAATGACAAAAGCTGGACTATCGAGACTATGTTTCATAACCGAGTCGATGACATTGATGCAGTCAGGCATAAACCCAACAGGAATTCAGAAACCGTAATTCCCAGTGCTTAACTGTTTATCAGTGCTATGGAGCGTAAATGGTCGAGGGTATAGTCCAGTGGAGCTCTTATTAGTTCATATGTGGACTCCAATTTTCTTGTATGTATTGCCAAGTTCATCAGCTAGCAGGGCAGCACAAATCATCCACGCTTAATGAAGCACATTGGTTACCACACTTGCAGTAGAATGTTTCCACAAACCGTTTCGACTCTGAACAGAACGGCCATGCAATGAACGGAGAGGCGGGTGGCGTGTTGTGCTCCACGTGAGGCACGTATCACCAACACTCAACCCAATTGCTCCAAGCAACAGAACCAAAATACTGTACTTAATAAGGAAAATTAGGTTTAGAACGTAATGACTTATGCCAACCTCCACAACAGAGCAATAATCGATGTGCCATTGTGCGAAAATTACTCCTTGGAAAACTTGATTGATCAGCTTTGTTGCCATGGAGTTAATTTGGCCTGCAACACACTTTACTCACTACGCATCCGTTTGATTTAAATGAATTGGACTTATATAATGGCTTACACAGGAATATTTCAGCTTCCTCATAGATTCGTCTGGGCTAAGCTAGACATCGTTCACATGTGTAGAATGACGCACGGCGCAGTCTGGTCTTTTCGGGACACATCGAGGTTGCGTGTGCAATCTGTCCAGTGCGGAGGTATGCACCAGTGATTTTGCTTTTCTGCTGAGGTGTTTAACATCAAGTTGGACGACGGTTACAACTAGCTAAAAATTCTCGCAACTCATTCTCCATTGTCATGCGCTTTAACATAGCACTTGAATCCGGTCCTATTCACAATACTCTCTAGAACTCAGCAAGCACACTTGTAAATCTATCCAGAAACGATTCAGCAGGTACCGCATCTCTGAGAATCAACGCTTTACTCTGCATGTAGAGAACTCACAATGCAATGGAGGATTAGTATTGCTTTACAACAGACACCCAGGCACGGTGCCGACCTCCGTCCCTCTTGGGCCAGCGGTCATGACCCCTACCCCTAAAGTCACCGGGTTCGATCCCCTCGCCTAGGTTACACAACCGCAATGTTGAGGAGCTCCGGGAGCACTAAACTGCCGTCCACTGCTACATTGAGTGAGATGCGGCCGCCTCATTGGGTCAGGCTATCGTGAACATTTATTTTTAATTTGGTGTTGACCAAAATAATGGCTGCGGACAAATTCGCTTGTGACCACAGAAAACTGAGATCATGAAAGCTGTCGCATCTAGGCCGTTGCGCACCTTTCGAAATGCACGCATCTTGCATCCTCAGTTTGTCTAATGTAAGGGTCGCCCATACACGATTAAAGGAACGAGACACTTCTTCTGTCTCGTCTGACATACCAAGCTCAACGATGGCTCCATATGTTAAATTTCTTACCTGTCACACATGGGTAACAACATGATATCCAGCTGTTGGCTCACAGCGCTTTGCCTTCCATGCCTGCTCCTCAGTCTGACAAGTGATTTCAACCAGGTGCAACCTTCTCCATGAATGTAATATGCCATATGGAACCGAAAGGACAATCATATAACGTCGTAAACGCCCACCCACGATTGACAGGACGGCTCGGTGTTCTTATCAATGGGGACAACCGTTTGAGAGACATGATTAGCGGGATTTGATTGATACCCCGATAGACCGCTTGCCCACGTTCGCCTTACCAAATGGCTCACCAGTACAAAGTCGCAAGTTTGTCCCAGACTTCACCCACTGCAATGTGAAACGTGCACTTTTCCTGATGAATTGCGCTTCCCCTATTGTAGTTTCTTCCTATTGAATGTAACATTTGTGTCATAAGCCCTCTGCTCCTCGGACAACAATTCAGCATTGAAGCCACTTTGATAGCCAAATGGCCAGTTTGGTGATAAAAACGGTGCTCATTCTTTGGGATTGATAAGCCTCATTTGGAATAGCACGAAATACAGTTGAGTTGTTCTTAGAAAATTTCACCGATATCCTGCATCCATATCCACTGGATTTCACTAGCTTGATTTCCAGCTGCATAAAAGCATAAGTCACTTATTGGCTGTTTTGAAAATCGCTCTAAAATGGTCTTGCTTTTCGAATACAGCTTTCAGTTAGATTGATCACACTATGTTCACTGATCACATTGTCCAGCAGGCGTCTGTATTGGCCTTCGTCCAGTAATAAGCAACAGAGATGTACATGCATGATACACGACGCATTAGAATGCAGCAGAAATCAGTAGAACCACCGAGCCACCGGAAGCTATGAATCCGGTCAATCACTAGTTCAAGCTGCAAGTTTTCCACAGATTCTACTAACTTTGGATCGCCCAACAGCATGAACTAACAACTCAGGTACAGTAATCTGCTGAAATTACACTTGTAACACCCCCTTGTAACACCCCTGGATTATACCGCATATCTTGTTCGTCCAACTGTGATTAAGTGCAGAAGGACAGCAGATCTGGAAAGTTGAAATGGGAATGACGAATTTGCATATGGAATAGTAGCTATTCGCCACAACCTGACAATGAACAACAATTTATCACGGGTAAAATAGCACCCGTAGGATGGGTGAAGTGAAAATTAAAAGGACCACCGGA